AATACTGGGTATAAAACACCAACTACTAGTATAGTGTTGATATTTCTATGAAATACGGATGAGATCTCTAGCAGACACAAAAGGGACAGTCATAAGATGTTATTTATGTAATGGTGTTCAAGGCTGAAGATTTTTGGCTAGGAATCTACAGCTTTGGTTGACTTCAGATTAATATTTAACAGTATAACTTCCATTTTTGTGCTTCCATCTTAAAACTAGGAGAAAACAACATGGGAGAATTTTTTTTTTTTAAATCTGCATATAATGAAAATCCTATTTTGTCTTTCTAGCAATGCTCTTCTGAACATGCAGCTCAGTGGACGATATTAGCATGTCTGATGCCAGGATGATTAGCATGTCTGATGCCAGGATGAATTAAAGCGGAACTTCACTCGCTCAATCAACATGGACTACTTTGAATCCCTATGCTGCTAGCACTAGTAAATGGATAGATAAGTATATCATATTTACTTGTTTTAAAGGAAGTAAATGCTACATGAATTATCTGCCCTTACTCAAGATGGCCACGGCCTGAAATGCCAGAGGGTATGCAGCGATTTCTTAGCAAAATAAAACATGAAGACATGGATGGATGGGTGAGTTTGCTTTGAATATTAACAATGCAGTAAATAGCATTTTTGGTTTGTGGTGCTCAGATGCAGTGCAGTTCCACTTTAACTCCAATGCGCATGTGTGGGAGTTAAGACATCCAGGGTCAAGGAATCAAGATGTCTGAAGACACCAAACCCAGATGATGGGGCAGCAAGGGAGATCGCAGCTGTTGCATCACTGGAGGAGGCTATTTCTGTAGGCAAGTGTGTCATAGTGCTCGCACATTTTGATAAAAGCTCTGGAAAGATTTACTAAAACTGGTGCAATCAGAATCTGGCGCAACTGTGCATAGTAACCAATCAGCTTCTAACTTCAGCTTGTTTAATTAAACTTTGACAATTAAACCTGCAAGCCGATTGGTTTCTATGCAGAGATTTTGCACAATGCAGTTTTAGTAAATAACCCTCATACATGTGTTTGTATGCGTGTGTTTGTTTTTATATGTGAGTATATGTATTTTACTTTTAATCTTGACCCCATATTCCTGTCATATCAGAACTGCTTTTTTTAGGATTTGTTCGTAATAGCAGCAAGGACTGCTGCTCCTCTGAAAAGCAATTCATGTTCAGATCGCTTTTCAGAGGCATTTCACAGGTTGTAAAGAGGCAATATGTTGCCTCCACACCATCTGGTTTAACCCCAACATCAATCACCACACCACAACTGTGTGCAATGCACACTGTTGCAGGGTGGGTTGTAGTTCAACTCCATTCACCTGGAGGTATACTTCCAGCTGCAACAACAGCAACAGCATGTGTATACCCCCAGCTGCTGTTTTTTCTGCAGCTAAAGGGGGAGCAGTTTGGAGTGGTAAAAGCAGCTCAATTGCATGGTTTTACTGCCCTCCAACCTCACAGGTGAACAGGCCCTTGGTTCACATCTGTGTCGCTGTGTGTGTAGTGCAGCCCATTCATTTCAATGGGCTGCCTTACCCACAGAGATGCAGGGAAAGTCGTCCCTGACCTTAGTTTTAAACTTGCATCACACCAAAAACACCCTGTATTAGCCAATGTATGGGGTACCCCTAAAGAGCAGAGCATTTGTCTGCATGTCAGGAATGAGCACAATTTGGCATGCTTTCAGCGACACACAGTAACGTGAACCAAGCCTTGGACAGGGGTGCCTTGTGACAGAAAATACTTTTCAAGAGCGCTCCGACTGGAAAAAGGTTGAGAAACACTGCACTAGAGGAAGTCGGACCCTCAGACTACCCTCATGAAGTCTGTTTCTGATTGTTTGGTCAGAGACAATCACACCAGTGGCCTGCTGGAGGTCATTTTGTAGGGCTCTGGCAGTGCTCATCCTGTTCCTCCTTGCACAAAGGAGCAAATACTGGTCCTGCTGATGGGTTAAGGACCTTCTAGGGCCCTGTCCAGCTTTCCTAGAGTAACTGCTGTCTCCTGGAATCTCCTCCAAGCTCTTGAGACTGTGCTGGGAGACACAGCAAACCTTCTGGCAATGGCACGTATTGATGGAGGAGTTGGGCTGCCTGTGCAACCTCTGTAGGGTCCAGGTATCGCCTCATGCTACCAATAGTGACATTGACCCTAGGCAAATTCAAAACAGTGAAAAACAGTCAGAAAAGATGAGTAGGGAAAAAATGTCAGTGGCCTCCACCTGTAAAACCATTCCTGTTTTTGGGGGTCGTCTCACTGCCCATCTAGTGTACCTGTTAATTTCATTAACACCAAAGCAGCTGAAACTGATTAACAACGCCATCTGCTACTTAACGGACCAGATCAATATCCCAGGAGTTTAATTGACTTGATGCGATTCTCTGATTAAAAACTGTTCCTTTAATTTTTTTGAGCAGTGTATAATATGGTATACTGTGCTTTTTATCTGCTAATCATGCTCCAAGAATCATAATAAACTGGCTCCTCATATCCGCCCCGGGTTGTATATCTTCCACTGTATTTTCGGACAAAACAGTTCTGATGCTGAATCGCCACCTATTATCTCTGCTTTGCCGTTCACAAATCACAGATTGTAACTAGCACATATTTCCTTCATAACTGTTGGCTTACTGTATATGTGCAATTATATGTCAATTTCATGCGGTGATTTTGATACACTGCCCAAAAGCTGCTGTACACAATTCTTTTATGTTTATAGGGACAACTATGCCAGGCACATTTAAAAAGAGAAGCAACACCTTATTCTGAATTACTGCATATAGTACTACTAGCTGGCACAACCAACATGGCAACCTGAACCATAGCTAAGGTATATCCTAAACGTACTTCACTACCACTGTTAATAGAAGACCTTCATAAAAGAGGATATGGATAGTATCAAATAAAGTAAAAAACAACAATCTGTATGTGGGACTCGCATATGGCCATGATAATTTTTCTTTATACTCCTGTAAGGTAATAATTCTAATTCCAAGCACTGATTATTAGAATACCCCTCTATAGTTACGATCACATTACTGCCTAAAAATTGTCATAATACTCTTGTATAGAGTATAATATGTCTGTATAGTTGTCATGTTACTAAGCTATGATCATTAGAATACTCTTGTATGCGTATGACCACATTACTAACCACTTCTAAAAACACTCATAAAAGACGCTGTATACTGTACTGTATTGGGTTTTTCTTAATACAAAGAGGGAGGTATCAGAAATAAAATTAGCAAGCCTAAAAATAATTCTGTAGTTGAAAAGTTTCTTACGATAAAAACTTTAAAATTTATGCAATTCCAAAAAAACAATTCACTGAAAAAAAACAGTGGACAGAAAGCAAGTGTATTATGTAGCATATAGCCGGGAAAAAAAAATAAGGATTGTAAAGACTGATATGAAAGACATGAATAAGTGTCTACTTCAAAAGATAGATATTGCATTTCCTAGGTCTTGATCATGCCCCACTAAATGATTACTAAACCAGTTCTTGGAAATTACAGATTAGTTGCACGGTTTCTATTCTCCGCGAGTATCATCTTTCTAATCACCCCTTCAGCTAAAGGAGGTGTGAATTCCTGCTGAGCTTATGCTGACCCTTACTAGAATATTAAAAAGATATATCTTTTAACAGAGTGGGCCAACTTAGAATTTATTTATTTTTGTTTCCACGATTTTAGATACCTAAAGCTGAACCCCAGCAGAAAGACTTTAACATAGTATGTATATACTCATTAAAAAAAAATATTCAGTCATATTTTTTTTAGTATTTCGGATAGAATACGGGGAGATTTTTCCTTGCTTCCTGTCTCAATTAATACAAGGCTGCCTCTAATTGACTTGGGGTGGAGGTTGTGATTTCGTCATCTGTCTCTGCACCTCGGCCAATCAGAGGAAGTCATGTATTCACTTTTTAAAATACAAGGCTTCTTGTGAATGGCTGAGAAACACTCACTGACTTGATTTTGTTTCGGAGCAGACAGCAGTTCCCAATACCACCGCCAGAACACAGCTCTGTATACTGTATGTAGCTAATGCTACATAGAATTTTTACAGCACTGACAACAGCTGAATTACTTAGTAAGGAAAACAGACTGGTTGGACCAGCATGGCCAAAAACAAACTATTTAAGGTGAACGTAAATCTGGAGTCTGGCTTTAAGCTAACCCAAAGCACTCTGGGAAACCCTTGTCATGTATTTAATGTGTACCTGTAAAACAAATGCACATAGTAAAACAGCTTAAAACAAAAACACTTAAATAAACTGATCCAAAATGTAAAATGGTTTCTATGTAAAAAGGATTTTTGTGATTTAAATATCACAGGGAAAAAAAAAAAATGTATAAACCTAGTGCAGCAATGTGTATATCAGTACTTAGTAAGGAAAACAGACTGGTTGGACCAGCATGGCCAAAACAACTATTTAAGGTGAACGTAAATCTGGAGTCTGGCTTTAAGCTAACCCAAAGCACTCTGGGAAACCCTTGTCATGTATTTAATGTGTACCTGTAAAACAAATGCACATAGTAAAACAGCTTAAAACAAAAACACTTAAATAAACTGATCCAAAATGTAAAATGGTTTCTATGTAAAAAGGATTTTTGTGATTTAAATATCACAGGGAAAAAAAAAAATGTATAAACCTAGTGCAGCAATGTGTATATCAGTATTTCTGACTGGTTTTGCATTCAACTTTATTCAAGCATTTTCAACCTGATCGTATTACAAGCACGCATCACTCACTGTGTCTCTCTTTCTAACACTAAACAAATCAATACAATAAGATGTCTGATTTAATGATTTTGTTCCTACAGAAAAAGGTATTAACAGGTATTAGAGTTAAAAAACAAACAAAACAAAAAAAAAACCCTATAATATATTTCTATATATGCAAAGAAAAGCTTAATGTCTTTAATTGTATTTGAAATCATAAACAAGAGTGTAAAACTTTTATTACTACAGGATTTATACCCCCATTACCTGGCTGTCTGCCCCACACCCAGCTGTCCATTATGGTTTTGGCCTTATAGTTTGGTATTGGCATGTCATCTTCCTCCTTCTTCTCTTTATCATTCTGATCATCCTTCTTTGAGCTGCTCTGGATTTCATTTATTTCATCTAGAAGAGATCATTGTAAGCACGTTTCAATACTCGGCATCATAAAATACTATAAAGAAACAACTGAAAAACATATCTATATATTTATATATAAACAGATTAAGATTGGGGGTTATTAGCAATAAAATCTTTAACCGGAATTACACTACATGGTACGTTTGTGCTTTATATGTATGCACTGGACCTATTGGAGCTTTCTGAGCGGAGGTGATTGCAGGTCCAGGAGGAGGATATTTTATTGTGCCTAATTCACACCATGCTCTGGTGAGTGCTTAATCTGATGGGGTGATTGTCACCTACAGAACACAGTGGTGATGGTGTGCATCTCTGAACTACAAAGACTTTCCTTATTAGAGATCTATATGGTGGACTTGGCTCTTTTTGTTTTCACTCTGCTACACATTGGTGGAAGATTTTTTTCATTTAACATTTATTTTAATTGTAGTTTATATTATTATTTATGTTTGTTTCTACGGAGTGAAGTGCTGTTTTTATGAGGTTTGTTAGCTGCTCATAATTTATTTCCTTTTTATATACCTTGATTTAAAAAAAACTAGGAGGGAGCTCAATTAAATTTGCTGTTGCACATAACAAAAATCATGCGTGCTAAATTTTCAGGACACAATGCACAGTAGTGCCATTCAGAATTAGTGGCATCGCACAGTACCAATTAAATATTGCCATGCATTGTGGTAACGGCGAGCTGTCGCAGTGCAACTGGTGTGAGCGTACCCCAAAAAACGACTGAATGCTTCTGTTGTGACCCCCTAATGCCACTTTCTTACTGTCAAAAACAATTTAGCACACACACTCTAAAATTTCAAGAAAACAGAACCCTAACACATAGTGAATGTAAGTCACTATTTCCAGGGATTGAACCTACAGGAATGGATAATTTGCAGTAAAAAGCAAGGTCCACTTATTTCCTAGCTTGCTACCCCAAAAGGAACACAAAATAAAAAAAAAAAAAAAAAAAAACGCACAAAATAAAAAAGACAAAAATACTTACCATGGCTTACGACCACTTCTTGGGAGGTCAATTCCTCCTGAGACAGTTAAAAGTGACACTAAAGATTTGTTTTGTTTTTTGTTTTTTTTTTTTAAAACATGTCGTACTTACCTTCTCTGTGCAGTGAGTTTGCACAGAGCAGCCTGATCCTCTTCTTTTTAGGTCCCCTCCGTCGCTCCTGGCTCCTCCCCCTCAAGCAGTACCTCCAAGGAAAGCTGTTTGCCCTGGAGACACCATTACAAGTTCGTCCCTGAGCCGTTGCTCTATGCGTCCATAAGACACATAGTGCCACGGCTCAGTCCCGCCCCTCCTGCTCTCGTCTTATTGGCTCACTGGCTGTGACTGACCATTGGCTACCGCTGTCTAAGCCAATAAGGAGGAAGAGTCCCCAGAGAGCAGAGGCTGTTGAAAACATCGCTGGATCGGAGGGGGCTCAATTAAGGAATGGGGGTTGGGAGGGCCGCTGCACACAGAAGGTTTTTTTTACCTTTATGCAAAGAATACATGAAGCTAAAAATCCTTGAGCCTTTACAACCACTTTCAGTAACCCCCCCCCCCCCCCGTGTAGTTCTCCATTGCGATCATGATGAAAATTTGCTTACCTTTCCTAGATGGCAGGTCTCCACTCTGTGTGCTTTCAACTCCCATGTAAACGATCTCCCCATCTTTCACCATCTCGTTCCACAAACTGCAGAAACCATCCCGAGTAAATGCAAGCTGAAAAACAAACACTTGTTAATGACTACAAAGTTAGTGGTCCCCAACGAATGACTGGAGGGAGATTTCAGCTATCGTTGCTGTGGTTGACACACCCTCTTAGCACAGGGTCAGTGCTCAAGAGTCGGAACATTTGTGAAGTGTTAAGACAAAACAGTATTGTATATCCATGCTAATCAATCTAGCATTGTAGGTCAAAAACAGCGCCATACTGTACCAATACATGTAATATGCATGGCAGTAACACGTGTTAACCCAATGGGATGGGATTAAAGGGCCCATGAGTGTCTCCTAGGAACCCCAACCATTAAAGTGTTACTAAACCCACAACAGTACAATCAGTCTGTATATGCAGTAAAGCATGCTCGTTATACTCAGTGTGGAACCTAAGGGGTTAATCCTCTGCATTGTGTAAAAAGGATGTTTGATCCTGTCTTCTCTGATTCTCCCCTTCTACTGTCCCCGACTCATCTCCTGATAGAACAGAGTCTTGGAGGCAAGCTGCACATGTTCAGTTTGCTGTGTATTGTTTGTTTTTTTTTTTGGAGAATGCATGTGATCAGCACAGGGCCAATCGGCTCTGTCCAGACAAAGGGTCAAGGGTTATGCATCCTCATAGACCAGTGACAGTTGTAACCAGTGCTTTGCCCCGAAACTGATAGAATTCATAAGACGGCTCTAACTGCTGATGAGAAAAGGTATTCAGCGGTTTATATTTACTAAAATAATTGCATTTCCATGTTGTGTGCACTGTGGGAGACCAGATATAGTGAATGCTGGGTCCTGGGTTAGTAACACTTTAAGAGACATTAATCAAATATATTTAAAGCATATGTAAACACAACAGTTCATATTCCTGATCAGTGCCTGCATGCCATGTACTTGTATGAAAAAGTATCTTGTTCTCCTTGTGTTGCTTCCTTTGTGTGAAATACCTGGTGTACCTGTCAGTCCCTCTGCTTTCCCATTAAAATGGTCAGTTCTCTAACTGTGCTGGGAAATCAGCTTTCTCTCCACCAATGATCAGACCCTTCCCATAAGATCAGTGTACTGCTGTTTCTGCTTCTTCATCTCTCTATGCAGCTGAGAACAGAGGGAATGTGATCACTTATTAAAAAAAAAAAAGGGGGGGGTATTTAGAATGTTTTTTCTATCTCTATATATAGGCATCTAGATATGGTGAAGACAACTTGCTGCAATTCAAAAACCAGACTGGAGAAGAAAGGGGATTTAAGTGATTTTGAACGTGGCATGGTTGTTGGTGGCAGGTAGGCTGGTCTGAGTATTTCAAAAACTGCTAATCTACTGGGAAGTTCACGCACAACCATCTCTAGGGTTTACAGAGAATGGTCAAAAAAAAAGAGAAAATATGCAGTGAGTAGCAGTTGTGTGGACGAAAATACCTTGTTGATTTCAGAGGAGACTGGGCAGACTAGTTCAAGATGATAGAAAGGCAACAGTAACATAGTGGGCACTAAATAAAGCTTTTAAAAAGGATAAGGCACTATATCTCCTTTCTTTCATACAGCTTACACGGAGGAGAATCTGGGAGAGGAATGGAGGAAAGAGGAGAAACAACGCAGCATAAGGAGGGAGAGATCCCAGCAGCTATATCTGCAGACAAGGAGAGGATCAGTAAGGAGCTCCCAGGGGATATCCATTATCCATCAAATCCCAAACGGAACAACAAGTGAATACAGCAGGTTTAAAACATGGACACAAAGTGATGTTTGCCTAAATTTAATATTAGGCATACATGGAGGTGAGCGCATATTAAAGTCACAAATTGGAGCACACAAGATTTCGAAAATATCGATTTTGGATCACAATTAAGATTTATGGGACTGTCACAATTATAAACTGATTTGAGTTGATCATATTTAAGTTGTAATAATTTTTAACAAGGCACAGTTGATTTTTTATTATTTTACAAATTTAAATATTTATCACATTAATCATAGAAATGAATTGATGGTAATTATGGAACAAGGCACAATTGATTATATATTTAGATAAATATTTAATTCACTAGGAATTTTTTGGAGATATTTTAAATAATTTAAATTTTGTAGCGCAACATTTTTGTTTTTTGTTATTTGGTATGATACTATTGCACACGATTATGAGGATGTGATTAATGTCAGCAAACCACAATATTTATTAATTTATAATCACAGTGGCTCACAAGTAAATATTTATACATATGATAACATGCACCACCTGCCTGGAGTTTGCATGCTCTCCCTGTGCTTGCATGAGTTTCCTCTGGGTAATAGAATTTCCTCCCACACTCCAAAAGACATGCTGGTAGGTTAATTGGATCTGGTCTAAATTGTCCCTTGTATGTGTATGTATGAATGTAAGTTAGGGACCTTAGATTGTACACCCCTTGAGGGTAGGGACTGTGAATGTACAATATATATGTAAAGCGCTGCGTAAATTGACGGCGCTATACAAGTACCTTTAATAAATAAATGTAAAAAATAAAATAACACATACTTCTGACGTAAGGAAGTGCTTGTTAACACACCCTAGAGAAGACCCACTTCCACCGAAGTACACCGGATGATTGCAGGGGACGCAAGTAGATTTCTATTCAGGTCCTGAAACTGTATCTGTCTACATCATTTCAACATATCACAACTACTGGGACAAACTGTATCTGGAGGCTTGAAAGAAACAGCATGACAAGTCACCAGATACATTTAACAAGTCACAGCCGAGTTGTTTACTACTACCATTGCTACAAAAATATGTGTAAACACAGAACAGCAAAACTGTGTTACTATTATTACTGCTACCATGAAGATGTGTGTCAACATACAATATGCAACTGCTACTACTACTATGAAAATAAATATGATCAAAATATACAGCTACACATTTATTACACCACTTAGAAGAGAAGAGTGCAAATTAACACATTAAAGCGGAAATACACTGCATCTGAGCATCACAAATCAAAAATGCCATTTAATCCATTTTTAATACTCAAAGCAAACTCACCCATCCATCTATGGATTTTATTTTGCTAAGGAATCACTTTGAAAAACAACCCCTAGAAATTCTGGCAGTGGGTATCTCGCATAAGGGCGGATGATTCATGCATCATTTACTTCCTGGAACCCATCTGCCCTAACCTCAGGCATAGGCTGAGCAGAGAACGCGTCTCTCCCCTCCTGAAGACCCTTGGGATGTGTGACATTCACCAAGGCATGGAAACCAGGAAGTAGCAAAAAAAAAAAAAAAAAAAAAAAAAAAAATACATTCAAAAAGAAGAAAAAAAAAAAAAAAAAAAAAAAAAAAGGTTTAACCTCCCTGGCGGTATGATTATTTTAGATTTATGGTGCTGAAAGCGGTACATTTTTTTGCATGGAAATTTGGCGTTTTATATTGTAGGCCTGTAATTCTTAGGAATAACTCACTGAAATCTGTCCGAACAAGAGTCTAGTAAACATCCCGGGTAGGATAAAACTTGAAACACAAAATCATAAATTATAATTTAATAAATAATCATAAAAAATAATAATATAATAATAAATTTAATTCAATAATATAATCAACCCAAAAACACTGAAATATAGTGCAAAGTTCGCACATCACTGAGCAAAGTCGCAAAATCGTTTTCAGTGCCTGATGATGAATTTCCCCACAAATCATTATCACTCAATTCTGCAAGTGGTTCTGATTTACTATCGCTGTTCTCTAGCTGGTCTAAACCCGCTTTTGACCTAAAGGGACACTTTTTGGACGCCATGGATGTTTCTCAGTTTCCAGGCAGAAAGAACAGTAAAAATGCAGGCAGGGCACAGGACAAAGCACTAGGGACAAAATGTATGTGAAATGGTTTGGTACAGTAATGTTTTACTATGTGATTGTAGTGAATGTCACTTTTTGTCATTTTCTAATTTCCCGCCGTTCCGTCCCCCGTACGTCCCGACGCTTGCAGTGGACGGAACCCAGATGACAGTTGCCGGCATCCGCCGGATTACATTGCCGGGGACACTGCAGGAGGGACATCGCGGGAGCACAGGACAAGGTAAGAGATCGAGGGATCACAGAGCAGCGCCGCATGGTATTCCTGAGTGTAGCTCGGGGTTACCTCTTGTGGTACTGAAATTTTACCCCGAGCTACACTAGGGAATACCGCCAGGGAGGTTAAAACAAGTAAATATGATATACTTTCCTATCTATTTTACATAGTTACATAGTTAGTCTGGCTGAAAAAAGACAAAAGTCCATCCAATTCAACCATGAAAAAAATAAAAGTTATAATCCTATATCCACAGTTGATCCAGAGGAAGGCAAAAAAAAAAACCCAGCAAAGCACGATCCAATTTTCTCCTGCTGGGAAAAAAAAAGCCTTCCTGATCCCCCGAGAGGCAATTGGATATTCCCTGGATCAACTTTACCTATATTTTGCCAGCAGCATAAGGATTAAAAATAGTCCATGTTGATTGAGAGAGTGAAGTTCCGCTTTAAGTAACAGATACAACAGTTACTATGACTGCTACCATGATGTAAAAATATACAACATGGGTACAACATACATGTATAAATCGTACAACTACTATTAATGTGTGTGTTTTTATACAACCCCACCTGCAGGTACTAGTCCCAACACTAAGATGTTGGTCACACCAATCCGACTTTGAAATCACTTCACATGAAGTCGCATGATTTCAAAGTAAAATTTCAGGTGCGATTTGCAAGACATCTGTGCACAGATGTCTATGCAAATGGCACCTGAACTTGCAAAAAGTAGTGCATGCACTACTTACAAAAAATTGGTGCGACTCTGACAAAGTTGGAATCGCACCGATATGACCACTTCAATTGCAGACAGTAGGGTGAGACTTGTCATGTGATTTGAAACTATCAAAATTGCATGACAAGTCGCATCGGTGTGACCGAGAACTAAATGGAACACAATACCACAAAAACATACACAGCAAAAAAAGTATAGCATGCTACTTTTTTAGTGCTGTGCAACACTGCCGCCAATAGAACTATAATTTCAGTAAAGAGGGTGGGGCAGGTTGTAAAATCGTCTGGTAACACCATTGTGATCCTACTGCATAAGTGGCTGCGTTCTAGTGCAGCTGCTGATGCAAATGGGACACACGCGCACACACACACACCTGCAAACGATACAAGATGTTAAAAGTGTATGCCAAGGAAAAATATGTAGTAGTAGTCTCTGAAATACAGTTCGCTGCATTTTATTCCCTTATAGGCGCGGGCCCATACAGGAAATTATTGTTATTGTGCCTGAAATGCACTCAGCTCAAATGTTTTCTTGTAGACTGCATGGTATCAGCCCTGCCCAAAGTCTTTTGTTAAAGTGTTACTAAACCCAGGACCCTGCATCCACTATATCTGGTCTCCCATGGTACACAGAACATGGAAATGCAATTATTGTAGTAAATATAAAACTACCAAATACCTTTTCTCAACAGCAGTTAGGGCAGTCTTGTGACTTCTATCAGTGTTCAGCAGAGCACTGGTTAAAGCTAGGAGGAGTTTTCCTTCTGCTCTAGGGGGATGCAGAACCCCTGACCTCTGTCTGGACAGTGCCGATTGGCCCTGTGCTGATCACATGCTCTCTCAAGGGGAAAAAAAACCCTCTCTAGCAATACACACCAAACTGAGCATGTGCAGTGTCTCTACATGATGTGTCTTATCAGGAGATATGAGGGTTGCACTGGAAGAAGGGGAGGATCAGAGAAGACTGGATCAAACAGCCTTTTTACATAATGCAGAGCATTAACCCCTGTGTGTATAACCCACAGAGAGTATAACAAGCATGCTTTCCTGCATATACAGACTGATCTTACTGTTGTGGGTTTAGTAACACTTTGAACTACAACGCCGCTCACAGATCTCTAAAACATAAAAGACTAATCATTCTATAATCCAACTTTAGGGGCCCTTTGAGATAACCGTGTACGCAGAGGACACAGGGCAGCTCTGAGTTTCTGACAAGGTCAACAGGCTTTTTTGCACTTATGAAACGGAATATTAAGCAGACCAAAAAGGAAACAAAATCGTAGAAGCTCATTGTTAGGGTTTACATAAACTTTATGTACATAATAATAATAAATTATTATTATTATTTAAAAAAACAACACAACACAGCTGCTACTACCATTGATTTTCAAAAAGTTATCTTGCGTTTGATTAATATACAAAAACAGGGTAGGAGTCCATTTATAAGCCCCCTAGGCCAAAAAAGAGACAGACCAGTCCACACATAGGGTGGATCATCAGTGTGCAATATTAAATGCTAGGGACAGTGTACTGGATGGAAACATGGGACTTTCCTAGGCTACAAAAGGTTTCTCAGAAGCAGTGTGTACAGTGACAGGAAGGTTTTCCACTGCTAAGAACAGGATATTTGCCAGGATGTTATTTGGACTTTACCAGAGCAAGGAAAAAGCCAGGATTTATGCATACCAAATACACTCACACTCTAAATGAGTGCAAAGTGACATATTTCAACATGACCACTGAAGTGTATGTTGACTTTGTTTCTCAGTTCTGGGGGGAAGAAAAAAAAAAATTGCTCGCTGCCATTTTATATATGGGAGGCAGCTACATGGACTTCTATGGAATGCCCATTAACCACTTCAATACCGGGCACTTATACCCCCTTGCTGCCCAGGCTAATTTTCAGCTTTCAGCGCTGTCGCACTTTTGATGACAATTGCGCGGTTATGCAACACTGTACCCATATGACATTTTTATAATTTTTTTTCACACAAATAGAGCTCTCTTTTGGTGGTATTTAATCACCACTGATTTTTTTTATTTTTTGCTAAATAAAACAAAAACAATGCACTTTTCTTCGTTTCTGTTATAAAATGTTTCAAATAAATAAGACTTCTTTATAAATTTAGGGCAAAATGTATTCTGCTACTTTTGTTTGGTGAAAATAATAATAATAATTGAATTTTTATTTTTTTTCAAACGTTTCTAAAATTTCTTTTTTTTCACTATTTTATTTTTCAGCACACTGTGACCAAAGCAATGCAATGTTACCATAGTAACATTGAACTACTCTGGGCAAGTGATCAGGATTTTTTTTTTTTTTTTTTAAAAACACGATGATTGCTAATACCAATGTATTTCAGTGATATTTGCAATCATTGTTACTGACTTAATCTGATTCATTCAGCCTTTTGTTGTGATTAGCTGTGATTGGGCAAAGCTGATCACATGATACAGATGGGATGTGAGTGGCCTTGTCTGTATCATGTGACTGCCTTGACCAGTCACAGCTAACAACATAATTGTATACAATGGATGGCATGGCAGGAAGCCATCCATTGTATACAATTGACATGTGACCTGCTGTGATAGGTCACAATGGTCACATGACACTGGCAGTGGGCCGATGTAGTGATATGTCATCGGCTGTGTCCCATGGACACAGCCTGTGACAGATCGTGCCACTGCGCAGCCCCGTGGCCGCGTGAGCGGATCGTTTTGACAGGACGTCACATGACGCCCAGTTACAAGGGCGAGAGTCCCACCCGTCAATCTGCTATAGGCTGGGTGGGAAGGTGTTAATTAATTCTTAGGCAATTAGTTTAATCAAAGTCTACAGCACTGGGCCTAGTACACAAGCTGCATGCCACAATACAAATTTCCACTTCAGGGTCTGCTTTTAGGCCTCATGCACACAGGACATTTACTAGAAGCCAGCAGCATTTTTGCAGTAAAAATTCCTGATGCTTATAAAGAGTTTAAAGCTTTTACAGGTGTCAAGCTCTTGGGCGTTAATTCATTTTAATGACCAGAATAAATGATTTATTCTGACCAATTAAATTAATGCTCAAGCACTAATGTTCAGGTGTGTTTAGCAGCTTTTAGAAGCTTCAAGCATTTTTTCTGCCCAAACTCTGCTGCTCCTGGACACACTGGCAATGGGGCTTTTTTCCCTGCCTCTAAAAGCTGCTGCCACTAAAACGCTGCCAAAAGCCTGTGTGCATGGACACATAGGCTAACATGGCGTTAAAACGTTTAGAGGCAGGAAAAAAAAAAATGGCAGATGCCCCTAGAAGCAGCTGTAAAAGCGTCCTGTGTGCGAGACCTAAGTGCAACTTAAAAAAAAAAAAAAAATGAAAAAAATGAACAGGCAGGAGTTTAAAAGCAATAGAGTCATAGTGGGGGTTATTTACTAAAGCTGCAAGAATGCAAAATCTTGTGCAACTCTGCATAGAAACCAATCCGATTCTAGGTTTTATTGCCAAAGCTTAAGGTGCTACTAAACCCAGGACCCTGTGTTCACTATATCTGATCTTCCACAGTACACACAACATGGAAATGCAATTATTGTAGTAAAAATAAACTGCTAAATACTTTTTCTCATCAGCAGTATATAGCAGTCTTGTGCCTTCTATCAGTGTCCAGCTGTGCCCTAGTTAAAGCTTGTAGGAGGAGTTTTCATTATCCTCTGACTGCCCTATGAGGCTGCATATCCCGACACTCTGTCTGGACAGTCCTGATTGTCCCTGTGCTGATCACATGCACCCTCCCAAGAAAAAAAAAAAAAAACCGCTCTAGCAGTACATACCAAACTGAGAATGTGCAGAGTACCCCCAAAGCTCTGCTCTATAAGGAGATGAAATGGGGAAAGTGGAAGAAAGGGAGGATCAGAGAAGACAAGATCAAACATTTTACACAATGCAGAGAATTAACTCCTTAAGTGAGTATAACAAGCATGCTTTACTGCAGGTACAGACTGATTTTACTGTTGTGAGTTTAGTAACACTTTAATTGAACAAGCTTAAGTTAGAAGCTGACCATGGCTACCACAACTTCACCAGACTCTGAATGCCCCGGTTTTGATAATTCTACCCCACTGCATTAAAGTTTCTTACCTGCCTGTCTGCTGAGCTGTGCACACACAGCTCAGTGTGCAATATCAGCAAAGCTGAGATAAATGTAGTCAACCAATGCCAAATCAATTGACTGAAATCTGTACCCACAAGCAGACCCGCTGAAGAAGTCAGTGGACTGCAGGGAGCTCTGGGACACTGCAGCGTTGGAGTGAAGGCGAATATAATTTCACTTTAAGTACAGCCTACAAACTTTCTGAAATGGTTTGGCAAATAAAGGAAGACCACTTGCCTCTTCGATAAATGACCGATTTCTCACAAATCAATCTCTTCTGATATGACTAATCAATCTACAGTCGGCAACCCCTTCCATCAATGTGACATACACAGGGAAGTTGATTTCGATCGATAGATAAGATAATGCTATAACTTACAATCATATCAATCTCATCTCTATATCCACCATGTACTCTGATCAATTGAAATTTGATTGTATTCATGAACAAAGTATCAAAGTGCTGCCAATCAATACAAAAGTATTGCTAATTTTTCTCTGGACAATCAGCTTGGTTTAATCAAATCTGATGTAAATGGAGTCTTAACTGATCAGAAGGAAAGTTATGGCCATTTGATTGTTTGCAGATTTGATTGATCAAAAAACACCTCGACTGGATACAAATAAAAAAATCAGTGTAAGTGACCACCGTTACTCAAAGTGAAGATTTGCTATATTACAGGGAACATCTAGAATTTGTTAATTGTGCCTAAACAGTACCCTGAAAAATGTACCTTTCATGCAAAGCGCTGCTTCCAACAAGATGGCCACCTCTACACAGACAATGCAGAATAAGGTATGGCAAATCAATGACGTGGAAAATACGAGCGGCAAGGATCACAGGCAATAATGGTCCTATGACCTCAGCCTGTCTTTTGGGCACAACTTCCAGAGTTCAGTTCTTTAACCACTTCCCGCCCGGCCGTTTATATACATTGGCCAGACGGGGTCAGGTGGTTGTTTATAAACGGCATCCCCGTTCCCCGCTTGTGCGCGCTCCCTGGGAGCACAGTGGAACACCGATCGTTGTACGGGACCTCTCTGTGAGGTCCCGATCATGTGATCATCATTCACAGATTTCACATGATCAGTGATCACATGCAGAGTAGCAAGCAAGATGTCACTTCTGACATCATTGCTTACTACATGTGAAATCTGTGAATGATCACAGAGGTCACATGGTACAAGACTATTCACAACAGCCTTGTACCATGTGACAAGCTGTGACCAATCACAGCTCACACAGTAGTACTCAATGGCTGCAAGAATGCAGCCAGAGAGAAGGAGAAATGATTGCTTTTACAGCCTTTATGGGTGTAAAAGCAATCAGTGTAAAAAAAAAAAAAAAAAAAAAATCTTCATCACCCCCCACAAGTAGTACAGTGTCACCATGGTGACTCCCATCATTGCAGCCTGGCCAATCAAAATGGCCAAATCCAAGAGGATGGTTAAAATGTCAGTGCCAGCAAGGACATCACTTTCATTGCTCTCACACCTGTACAGCCCTCGATGGACCAGACACATTTTTACTTTTCTGCTATGGACCTGTTTAGTGGGCAACAAATTGTCATTACTTAAGGTGGTGGTAAAGGCTAAATGTTTTTTTTTTTACCTTAATGCATTAAAAGTAAAAACCTTTCATGTTTTGCTCTCCCATAACCCCCCCAAATACTCACCTGAGACAGATCTCAATCCAGCGCTGTGCCAGAGAGCAGCAGAGCCATTGGCTCCCACTGCTGTCAATCACAGCCTGTGAGGAGAGAGTGGAGGTGGGGGCAGAGCTGAGCCTCGCTGTGTCTATAGACACAGGCAGGGTGGCCTGCAATTGAGCCCGCAGCTGTGTTTGCCCTGTTAAAGACCACACTAAAAATTATGATTCTTGCACAAAACCATAACAAAAAATGATTGAACTTAAATAAAAACAAACAATGAGGCCCCTTTCATGTGGGGTGGACTGCGATCCAGTTGCTCAGCGGGGGATCTGTCTGTCTAGGCAGTCGGATGACAGGTCTGTGTCAACTTCACCTTTGCAGATCAGACACGGACACAGACCACTCTCCTCTATTGGCAGCCAGATGTAAACGGATCACCTGTCTGTTTACACTCGACCGCCATCCGATGCAATCTGCTGCTGCGGCTTACACCCGCCGCTCCATAGAGGAGAATAGAGGTTCTGTCCGGGTCCACCTGAAAAATGGACAGGCAGACCTGATTGGAACTTCTGTGTGGAGGGGGCCTAAAAAATAAAACAAATCACAAAAGTTTAGTGAAACTTCAGTTCTCTTTATTCATGGCTCCACCCCCCACCCTTCCAGTTGGGCTACCATGCTTGATTGTCCAGTGAATGTGCAGATGTGTCAAAGGGTACCGAGTTTCACACACGTACAGAAAAACGGGGGTCCTGGAACTCGACTGTGCTATCCTTCTGCAAGTGTGCAGGTGTGCAGAAGGCCTCTGCCAAATTCTAAAGCCTGGCAGTTCTATGTGAGGAAGGAGGAGGAACTGCCCTTAAGAAGGAGGCAGGAGAGAGGTGCACTTATATTGTCTTTTGGGGTGAAGGCCCGCTTTAAACATTATTGATAAATATGGTTAGAAAAAAAGAAAGTCAAAAAAATATCAGCAATAAAATAGTAGTTAGAAGGGGAAGAAGGCATTGTTTACGGCTGATTAGGGTAAACAAATGGTTAATGAAGGGTTATATAGGAATTTTTTTTAATTGTTTGGTTGCTGTATCGCATACAGATTGAAGCTCATCATTTTTATCTACAGAGGAATGGAACAGAATAGATACAAAAATAACAATGCTACTATTTATCTCTCTCTGGCATCTGAGCAGTGTTTTGAAACATTAAAGCGGAGCTCCACCCAAAAGGGGAAGTTCCACTTTAAAGACTGGTCCCCCGTCTGGCACCTTTGGGGAGTGGGTACCTGAAATTGACAGGTACCCACTCCCACTGTGATCGCCTAGGCAATCGGAAGTTGTCCTCTTACCCTCCCTCCCCGTAGTCTTCTGGGACACGTGACAGGTCCCAGAAGACTACAGGACCAATCAGGAAGTGCAGCGCTACTCACGCATGCGCAGTGGTCATCCGGCTGTGAAGCCACGAGCTGTCAGAGCCTGGTGCCCACATTAAAGATGCCAATGCCTGGAACTGGTGTTCCAGGCATTGGCATCTTTAATGTGGGCACCAGGCTGGTGAAAACGGGCTGCGGGGAGGACACCACAGGATCGTGGGACAGGTGAATGGCTGGCTTTTTAAAAGTCAGCGGTTACAGTTTTTGTAACTGCTGACTTATTTTTTCACAGTGCGACTGGAACTCCGCTTTAAGGTTGATTTACTGAATTTAAATAGATTGTTCACTGTGCAAAGGAATTTTCCTCTGAGCTAGTGAATGAGGTGAAGCTGTGATGATGTCCATCATCCAAACATGTACAAACAAAAATGTTTTTTTTGGTTTTTTTTTTCCTTGCATGTGATTGGTTATTATCTGCAAAGTGGAATTGCAGTACATTCAATAAAGTAGAATTCTGGGATATTACCAACTAATCCTAAAACTGCTTCTACCCCCCTTCTAACACCTAGACTAACTAACCTGTAGAAGAAAGATGTATGTACTTACCTAATTTCAGGCCACTGTGGTCCGGTCACATGACCTCCCATTGGAAGCCAGTGTCCGATACAGGAGCGAGGAGAGAGTGCTCCAACAACGGCTGGTAATGCCTGCGTCACCCAAAAGCTTACCATTCATTGTCAGCGATTCCTCCTCTCCCAAAAGCTGCTGCTAGCTGACAGAAGGGAGTCGATCCTGTTATTGGACCGCCCAGAAGACATCTTTCTTCCACAGGTTAGTATAGGTGTTAGGAGGGGGGGTGGGAGCAGTTTTAAGATTAATTAGTGGTATCCCAAAATTCCACTGTACCCTAGGTTCACACCTAAGCATTTTCTGCAGTGTTTTGCAGAAACACAGTACAGTCCATTTAACATGATTTCCTATGGGACATGTTCGTACCTGTGCGGTTTCACCCGCTGTGTTTTTTGGAAAGGGTCAGGGACTTTTTTGAACACAATAAGTTGCGGTTTTATTTCTATAGACTTCAATGGAAACGCTGCAGAAAAGCATGTATTGCGTTTTTGATGTGTTTTAAATCTGCCTAGCAACAAGAAAAATGAAAAAAAAAAAATGAAAAAAAAAAAAAAAAAAACTAAAAACTAAAAACACAAAATGCATCAAAAACGCAAGTGCAAAAATGCAATGCAGAAAAGGCTCAAACGCAACCTTCTTAGGTGTAAAGCTAGCCTTAAGCCTTGGGTAAACTCCCTTGCAAAGGAGTTGTGTGCTGTAGTATTCACACAGTAACTTCCGGCTGACCATTGCTGGCAAATGTGGAGTGGGGAACAGCAGTGGGGGAGAAGGACACGCACAAACACATAAAATAAAAAAAGACATAATAAATAAAAACACATAAAAATACACACAAAAAATACTACCTGTAGGTCCGTTTTCAACCATTTTGAATCGAATCTTGATTGTGCAACCAGAGTGAATGTTTCTGAAGACATATTGCTTGCACTTTCCTGCCTAATAAAAAAAAAAAAGAAAACAAATGTATCAGGCTCTGAATGAAAGCTGGCCCATACATCATTAGATTCTCATTTGATCATTCATATGGAAATTATGAAAAATCAGTCTTCATCGTTGATTTAACTAATTTTGTTTGAAAGCCCTTAAAATTTCATCTATACCTGCAATTTGAATGGAATCCCGACATATTTGACAGGATTCATTAGCATACAGTAGGTACAATTTTCCTAAAAGCAAACCACACTGAAACTTCATCTTGCTCCTTCAACTTTTCTTGTCACTACAATCAATTCATTCAAAGCTGGCATTTCAACTTTTCACAAGATATTGGTAAGTTTTTTAACAATTGGCCACAGCCTTCATTTCTTTTTCTCTCCACAATAATTGTCAGCCTTTTCCCCTGCCTTGGCATCCTAAAGCTCAAGGAAAATTATGAGGAATTTAATTGGTTGCCCAGTAACAATAGTTTAAAATATTAATTCCAGGTATGGATTTTTTTCTTCTTTTTAACATAGTTACATTGGTCTACCTTGAATCAATGTAAGTATGCATATGCCATACCTGTGGAAATGGATCATCACTGTAAAGTTCCTGCTCCTGTGCCAAGCGGCCGCTTTGCTGCATTGAGATCACGGGAGAGGGAGGAAGGTCGCTCGCTTGGCATGGCCGCTGTTAATAGATCGCATTGCATTTTTCTCAGTGAATACAAGATGTTCTCTAATTGATCGAGGTGGAGAGGCGGGGCAATAATGTCACAATCCTCATCCAATTAGAGAGCACCTTGCATTCATTGAGAGAAATGCAAGGAGTTCTGTGAATAGTGCCGTACCCAGCAATGATCTCCTGTGTTCGCTTTGCAGCAGAGCAGCTGCAGTGGCCATAACTGTAGTAACGGTGACTACTCTACTTATTCTTCGCTTTCACAGCAGAATATGCATACCTACTTTGGTTCAAGCTGGACCTGTGTAACTACGCAAGAAAATGCATACCTGGAATTCAGTTTTAGGACCAGTTCACACTACATGCATTTCAGTTGCTTTTTTTATGCATCAAAAATGCACAGAAAGTGGGTTATATGGTTGTCAATGTCATAGTTCACATCAGTGCTTGCAGTTCCAGTTCCGGTTGAAGAAGAAAAAAAAAAAAAAAAAAAAGTAAAACATGCTGCATTTTTTGTTCACAGAACTGTACCGGAAAGCAGTAAAACGCATCAATAACGTACCAAAAACGCACTGGAACGCACATGTCCCTATTTAAATTGAAGAAACAGAGGAGAAAAAAATGAACTGGAATGCAGAGAAAACGCAGTGGAACGATTCAAAAACGCGCATGCGGAAACGCATCAAGAACACATCTGGACTGCGTTTCTATAGTGTGAACCGGTCCTTAGGGTGTGTGTGTTTTTTTTATGCATTCCAGTTAATTTTTTTTTCCCTCTCCTTTTCTTCAATTTATATAGAGACATGTGCATTCCAGTGCTTTTTGATGCGTTTTTGATGCGTTTTTGATGCGTTTTACCGCGTTCCAGTACAGTTCTGTGCAGAAAAAAAAAAAGCAGCATGTTCTACTTTTTTTCTGCAACTGGAACTAACTGGAACTGCAAGCCCTGATGTGAACTATGACATTGACAACCATATAACCTACTTTCTGTGCGTTTTGGATGTAGAAAAAAAGCAACTGAAGTGTGAACTGGCCCTTAAAGTACATACCTGGACAAAACAAAAAAACATTGCTGCAAAATACACCAATTTCCCCATGTTTTCTGGCTTTAAAAAAGCAGCAGTTACAGAAAAATGCCTGCCGATCTGCCAGAAATCCAGAGAGCTCCCAACTCCCTGTATTCAGCTGACAACACACTGGGGGTTGATTTATTAGAACTGAAGAGTGCAAGTCTGGTGCAGCTGTGCATAGAAACCAATCAGCTTCCAGGTTTTATTGTCAAAGCTTAATTGAACAAGCTGAAGTTAGAAGCTTATTGGCCACCATGGACAGCTGCACCAGATCCTCAGTGCTCCAGTTTTAGAGAATCTACGGCACAGTGTTCTTTATTCCAATGCAACTATATTTCAGACAGCTCCTCCAGGTGTTGTGGGGGTGTCTGTTTTCTGTCTCACTTTATCTCTCCCTGCTGCCACCAATCACATTTAGACTTCCAATGCAGGCTCCAATCTGCTTGGTAGCTCTGAATTCTTAGTACAGACCCTTTTCATGCAAGGGACAGTGAGAAGCCTACAGTAGATGTCTTGCAAAATACTAATTAGAGTGTCTCCTGCAATACAAGCAAGCAAATAAAAAGGTAAAAAAGAGATCAACTAAAGGGAGCAGTGTGAAGAGGTATATTACAGCAAAATTACAGAGTTAGGACCGCAGTACACAGAGGTGCCCAGACAGACACTGCAGCTTACGTGTATATTTGCAAATGTGTGCAAACGAAACCACTCAGCTTCCAGGTTTTTTGTTTTGCCAAAGCTTAATTGAACAAGCTGAAGTTAGAAGCTGATTGGCTACCATGCACTCTCCAGTTTTAGTAAATCAATCTTAGTGTCTCTGCAAACATCGGCAGCTGTGCCCAAGCTCCCCCCTGCTAGCCTACCTAACTTAACATGGAGGGAGGTTTTCTGCAGTCCAGCAGGAAGAAATCACGCAGAGCTGACAAGGCTATCTGGGATTTCAGTGCAGCAGGGGCACTGTGTTGTTAATTCAATAAAGGAAGTTAGGAGCTCTCTGGATTTTTGGCAGGTTCGTTTAAAAAAAAAAAAAAAAAAAAAGGGAGATTCTTTGTTTATATTATACAAAAAACAAACAGGTAATTTTTCTCTTTCACTGATGTGTGTTGATGAGGCTGCACTAATAGGCAGCACTGATGGGTAGCACTGATGGGCATTGATGAGGAGGCACTGATAGGTGGCACTGACTGCAGGAACCGACAGGCGGCACTGCTGGGCGACACTATGGGTGACATTGATAATCAGTGCCCTGATTATTAATGCAGATCTCCCTGGTTATATTTTTCCGGTAATCAGAAGTACTTTCCTCGTGCTGTGACAGCATGAGGAAAGTGCAGCCAATAACCAGCAACTGTATTTACATTATGATCTGCTGCGTCATTGGACACAGCTGATCACGTGGTAAAAGGCCGCTGTGAATGGCCTTTTACCACATCACAAGATCACCGACAGCACCGGGTGCGCGCCAGAAGCAGTTAGATCGAATTTTTAAAATTTTATATCAAAAATTATTTTAATGAAATGCTTTTGGAGTAAAAGTCTATCTAAAGATAGTTTTCTATTTAAGATACATTAATAATTTAGTTTATACAGCATGAAATGGAGCTTAGTTATGTAGCATGAGGCTGTATATTCTGCTATATTTACATTTTTGGTAAACTCATTCAATGAATCCAAGCTCTGCAAGCTGAGATTACATGCGCTGCATTGATGCATTCACACAATTTCACAGTGACCGTGAGAAAAAACATGAAATAAAAGATTTTGAGTAGTTCTCCAGTTGTGTGATTAACCTAAAATCGGTTCGAATATCGCTGTTTTACTAACCTGACAGCTTAATATTCTAAAAAAAGAAACCTTCATTTGGTTTGCAAATATTATAGATTTAAAGAGCATCTGTCATTTTAGATCCATCATGGCAGCGCCTGTTAGCAGGCATCTACTCACCTGCTGCCGACACGTCCCTCACCTTGTTGTGTCACTGCCGCATCACCAGCCATCCCATTAAAGTGAATGGGACTGTCGGTGAGTCAACAGCGGGTCAGAGGAGGAGCCGCTACAGGACAGAGATGACAGTTGCTCTTTAAAAATTATGATTTAAATCAAGGCTTTTCACTAGTGATTTAAATCAAATCCACCCTGGTACTTTCCCATACATTGATGAAACAAAAAATACGTGGGAATATGCACTGGGTTTATTATGCAAATATTGACTTTCCTCTAGAAAGTCGGTTTTTGGCAATGCCTATCTAACAGCATATCACCAGTTGCGAGGTTCAGAGGAAGAGTAATGAAAAATAGTCACAGAAAATAAAAAGGCAGAACTTTTAATAACACATTTAGAGCATAGCAGTGTAATGGATATGTCCATAAGCATGAGTATCTTTTGAATTATGTAACAAGTATGTATCAGTAAGTGCATTAGCCTTTCCAGCACATGACCCCATGCTGTGAGCAGAGAATTAACACTTGGACAGATAGAGTAGACATCAGATCTTACACACCAGCTGGGACAGAGCAGAGTGCTCACTATAATTTGCTGAATCAGAATCAGGTCCTGACCCCTACAACCCTGGCAAACAGATGACATCAGAAGTCTCAAAACACAGCCACACTCTTGAGCATCTGTGGCGTAAGACTAAGTCTCACAAAGACTTCAACCAATATAAAATTACCCTCCAAAAATACAATTTTTGTCACTCTCATTAACACCTTCTCATCCAGTCCCCGTCAACACTTTTCTACCTTTAACTCTTTACTTTGTCCTCCACCACCTCCACCAACTAACTCACTCACTGCCCAGAAGATAAACAATTACTTCAAAATGAAGATTGATACAAAAATCGAGAGGAAATCTCCACTCTACAGATATCCCCCCCACTTAACACCCCATGTCCACTCAACAACATTTTTGGCTGCCTTTGGTACGGTTGACCACCCCCCTGCTCCTCAAAATACTTAACTTTTTTGGTTTGCGTGACTGTGCGCTTTGTTGGTTTTTATCCTACCTATTCCACTGCACCTTAAGTGTTACTTACAATTCTACTTCCTCCTCTTCTCTACCTTTGTCAAGGTCCCCCAAGGTTCTGTTCTTGGACCTTTCCTATTCTCAATCTACATCTCCTCCTGTGGTCAGCTGATAGCCTTCCAAACCAAGCTCTTAATATTTCCTTCCCCAGGTGCCCCTTCCCCTGACTTCTTTGTCAAGATCAATGGCACAATCATCAATCCGTTCCTGCATGCCAGGGTGC